TCGTTTCAAAATAATTTATAAATAATTTTACAATAAACTGAAAAGAAAATAAATGACAAATTTGTTTTTGCGAGAAAAAAAATTAATTTTAATTAAGTTTGAAAAAAATAATAAATATTTGGTTTTTAAAAAAAATTACACCCTAATTTTTAAAATTATAATTAAGATTTTGAATTTATCGAACAAAATTGGAATCTTTTTCTTTTATATATTGACAATTTAGTGAATTTTAAAAAAAGTACTTTTGACAGTTACAAATTCAAATTATATATATACATCACAGACGTGAACAAAATAATGATTGCTAATTATTGGCTTCTGTCAGTGGCTACAAATCTGACTGATGAATATTTTAACGAAATTAAAAGTTGCAAATTTATAAATATGCAATCTTCTGATATTAAAATTGATTAAATACACGTTTTATTATATCGATGATGTATGCAAATAATATATTGGTAGCACGGTTTGATAAATCATCATATAATTCATGTAAAAAAAAAATAAATTTTTAAAAAGTAAATTATTATTTTGATCACACGCAAAGTTTTATAATTACAATAAATCAGAAAAAAAATGAAATTAGGGATTATGTAAATTAGTTTTAAAAATACAATTCTTTTTTCCATTATTATATATTAATTAATAATTATTTTCATTTATGTTTTTTTTTTTTTATTGAGAACGTGCATTCGGTAGTTTATCTAATTAATCTCAAGGAATGTTATTTAGATTTTATAAGGCGTTTTTCATAATAAAATTCAAAATAAAATTTTGCTAAATGAAATATGAGCAGAAAGTAATATTAATTACTGGTGTTCTATCGTGAATACGAGGATAGAAAGCTACTCGTTATATGTAAATTAACATTGAATGTGTGTGTATATATGGCGTTTGTCGTATATTCATGAATTTTCATATGTAGAACGCACAAGCAATGCATTCAATATTCGAGTAATTAAAATTTGCAATTTTTGCTCTCTTGTCACATTTACGGTATACTATTCATTTCCATCGGTTAATTCGATTTCAAAAATATATGTATAACTATGTGGGCGTTAATGTTTAAATCCTTTTATTTAAAATAATGTCTTCACTAAAGTGCCATTTATTAAAGAAACAAAATTTTATCCGAATTGAAAATTTTTTAATTTTAATTATATATATATACTGAATTTCACAGAATTATCAATGTTTTTTTAAAATATTTAAAGAATAAAAAATAGTTATCAATTTAATAAATTATTGCAAATAATGATTATTATAAAGCTACTAATATATCGATTGAAGGTACAATTTATTGTTAATTTACCGCGGGGAATTATTAAAACAATGCATGGAATTCAGAGAATGAATTCCATTTTATATAAAGTATGCATGTGCAATTAATTGGTAATTCTCTGGGTAAAGAGAACTTTAATGATTCATTTGTCGTAATAATGGACATTTTACAAGCAATTGTTATGTTCCCTTCACTTTCTGAATGTATTTAAATAAATTATAGTGTCAAATGAATAGGAAAAAAAAAATTATATTTTTACCATTTTTTTTTATGGCAACTTTTGTACCCTCTGATTGACATCTGTCAGGGTCGAATTTGTTGAAAAAAAAAAAAAAAAAAAAATGAACGTAACTTCTCGACGTTTTTGACCATTTGGTTTATTATGTGAATATATAGTAAATAAGTAGAATAAATTCATATCGCTGCAAGGCAAAATGAGAGTCTCTCTTTTCTAATTGAAATACACCGTGGGACCGGTAAACGGGTCCTCTTTCAAATGCGGCGTAACCTTAGACACTGAATTCTATATATCCATACGCGCGTACAGGCGTACTTGATCAATGGACTTGTTTTATTATACCTTTTGCTTCTGTATATGCCTCCGGCAAATCGACATTTCAGATCAGTTTAAATGTATATAATATATTAATTATTGTCTTCGCTTTTAATTAAAACATTTATACGTTATGCACATTAAAATTGGCAAATATTCTTTAAAAATAAGAATTCTCCAATTATGTTCAGATAAAATCGATTATGATTTTTATGATTTTCCGTCATATGCTAATATATTAATAGGAAAAAAGAAATTTATTTGAACCATATAATTTTTATTTGAATTAAGTAAATTGTATTTGAATGAATAATTTTTGTATTTGAAACAAATACCATTTAATTGACTTAATAATTATTTAATACAAATAAATATTTATTTGTAATCAAATAACCGATTATATTTGAATCAAATAAATTTTTTTTCAGTTTACTTTTATTAAAATTTCAAGTTCTAATTGAAATCTTTTTTTTACTGATCAATGTTTCATGGTGCAGAGGTAAACAATAAACAAAAAAGGGACGAAATGAAGTTTAAAAATCGAAATATTAAGCACATGGCTAGATATGTATCTTTCTTTTTTGCGTGGGCGAGTTAGCATCTCGTTTACGGGCATCACGTAATTCATGGCGCCACTTCGATTATGGCTGAAAATTTGGGCCGCGTATTACACCCACCCACACACACACACATATGTATATATATATACAAATCGTAAAAAGAATAATACAGTCGAAAATTGTCTAAAAATATAATACAGACGAAAACAATATAATTTAATATATAACGTTCCGGGAATCTAATTGACCCTCATCTGTATAAATTACTCCAAAAAATTGAAAATTATATATTTTTTTTTCTCAGTAAATAATATTAAAAATTATAATACAGTAAAAATATTTTCCTATATATAGAATTAGTTTAGAAATTTTTTTTTTTTATTACACTAAAAAAAGGGTTTGGTATTCACAACCAAACGTTTGGTTGGTATTTAAGCAACCAAATTTTTTTTGTTGAATCAACAAAATTTTGGTTGTCCCAATAAAACTTTATTTAGGACAACAAAAATCCTTTTTTTCTAATTTTGGTTGAGACAATTAAAATTTTGTTGATTCAACAAAAAAATTTTGGTTACTTAAATACCAACCAAACGTTTGGTTGTCAATACCAAACCCTGCTTTTTCAGTGTAGAATTTATGTAAGAGGAGCAAATCTTTTATTTTTCGGTATAGACATTTGCAAAGATTTTTTCATTCTTTTTCTTAATATCACTTTTTTTTTGCTCGTTGAGAGGAATACGCGCGGAAATAAAAGTGCGATAATCGCATTAGTGAGTGCGAAAAGCAGCAAAGCATCGACAAAGGTCCTTCAGAATATCCCGAGGGTTCTCATCAAGAAAAAAAAAAAAAAAAAAAAAATGTGAAACACTTATTAAAAGACTCTTTAAAAAGTTCGCACACAAAATTGTAATGATTTGCGAAATTCAGACTAATTTTTTCTTGTATTGTATTATTTTTTTATATGTGCAATTTTTTTCTAAATGAATTAAAGAAAATTTTTTTATCCATTTTTTCTTTGTAAAAAAAATTACCTTTGATATAAATTTTTTTTTATTTTTTATACTTTGATAAAAAAAAAAAAAAATATGCCAGGTTTGGTATTTTGCAAATCGGGCAAGTGAAATTTGACACTTTCTTTTGCGTTGCACATTTTGCACATTGTATATGTATATAATGTGTGCACTTTTGATAAGAGGATATCGTTCTTCGGGGAACCTTTTAAGAATTGATGTATCTTCACAACATTATCGCTTGATGTAACATATATCCCTGCACTCTTATTCGAATTTTGAGACAAGCGTGGATTTTCTATCTGATTTAAATTCAACTTGCATCACTTTTATATTCCGTCCTGAAACGCCGCTCTGCATTCCAAAAACTTTCGCCCAAAAAGTGCGTATATTTTTTTTGGCTCTTTTTTTATCATTTTAATTTTTATCTATACATTTCGTTTTCAATTAAAAAAAGAAAATAAGTTTTTAATTTCGATTTTTTTTTTGGATTTTAAAATCGCTTTTAAATGTCAAATTTATTCTATAATATATTTTAAAGTGTAAAAATAAGACTGATTTAAAACCATTTAAATTTCTTACAATGTATAGGACTTTTATTACACGATAAATTGTCTTCTTTTTTTTTTTTTTTGGAAAAGTAAAACCAATTTTATATGGAACTTTGCGCATGCACATATATATATACTTTGTATCTATATCAAATTGTAATCTAGACGATACAACGTCAACCGTGTGGATAAAGAGGAAATATCTCTCGTTACAAAACCAACATTATCGGAGATCTCCCTCACTCCAATGTATAGAAAAGGAAGTGCAATATTCGAGCTATTCTTTTTCAATTCTTTATTCTTATATATATATATTTTTTTTTTTCTCTCTTGCAGCTTGCATATCAGAGAGACTGCATTTCTGCACTAAGATCGACCGACAAACCCGTATATCCAGTTCCTTTATTCTGTCCTATATGCAAGAACACCATAAAACTCACGATTAATAAAAAAAATAAAAGAAAAATATCATCACGTTACGGTCAAATATATATTTTCTTCTTCTTTTTTTAGAATTTGATTTTATACTCTTTTTTAGTGGATTTTTTTAAGTATATATATATAATTTTACTCTTTTCGAGAGTTAAATTTCACACTTGTTGGAAAAAATGAAACTTTTAACACCAATTAGAGAGCGAGAAAGAAAGTTTCAAAATTATCGATGGAATATTAAATATATTTAAATTATAATAATAATAATTATTATTATTCTTCTTATTATTATTATTATTTTTATTATTATTATTATTATTATTATTATTATTCTAATTATTATTATATTATTAATATACTTCATTAGTCATTTTAACGTGCTTTGAAAATATTTAGAGAATCTCATTTATTTTTCTCGTTTCGTTAGCAGTAATTAATAATAATTATGGATTTAAATTTTCACATTTTTACATGTACTCATTTTCTGTAAAAGATTTTCAAAAAAACATTAATTATATTACTATTATTATAATTAATATTAATTATATTAATTATATTAATATTATATATTTAAAAATTTATTTATATGTTTCAAATTTTCCAGTTACCTTACCACTCATCGTAATAAAGAAACTGTTCCGGATTTCATAATTATAACACCTTCAATATAAAAGGTAAGAAATTTTTTTACTTTAACATTTAATCAAATTTTAGCCTTATTCTTATTTTTAACTACTATAAAAAAAACAAATTTTCCGAAAAATTAATTTTCAAAATCTTTGTACTTAAAATAAAAATTTATCTTTGATGAAAAAAATCAATTTTTGTAAATATTATTAATAAATTAATATTAAAAATTATAAATATTATAATTTATAATAATATAAATTAATGTATTATATATTAATGTTATTCTATTATAATTATAATTATAATTTTAATATAATTTTCATATAATTTTAAAACAATTTATTTTAATTATCGTAATTCTGTTAATTATTGTTATTATTAAAATATTCAGAGCAAGAAAAATAAAACAATGTTCTTGAACTAAATTGAAAAGAATTTTCCGGAAAAAATATATAATTAATATTGTCATAAAAAAAAAACAATTTGACGCATTTATTTTTTTTTTCTCTGACTGCGACGATTGATTGCTGTTTTATTTGTTTCGTAAATGACGCCATTCATATCAACTGCAACGTCGCACATGTTCGCGTTCCCCGCCCAGCTATGTATATTTGCCAAAAGCTCACCCACACATATTCAAATTTGCACTCGCTGAATAGAAATTCATTTCATTTCATTTTTTTTTTTTTTTTTATATCTCTACCATTTCTGGTTGCTCGCATAGAAATGAAACACAAGAGAGAAAACTTTAAAACACATGTGATTCCGAGACTTTCGGTTAATTTTAGTCTAAAGAGATAAGGTTGTATAAGTGGAAACTTAAGGGGATAAGAGATATATATTTTTTTACAATTTATACAATATATATATATCTAAAGGTATATGTATTTAAATATATGCGTAGTTTTTAGAAAACAAAACAATTACATATACACTATAAGAAAAAAACATGATTCAGAAATTATTTTTAACGAGCGCGGTTGATAAGTTCTTGACCAAGGATAATAATTTTTCAGTTGACACTAAAAAAAAAGAAAAAAAGATTCGAGGCGCATGAATATTCCGCAAAAATTGACGTCATTTTATTACCGTATGACTAATTTTCTCAAAACTAGTTGTTAAACGTGTATCATTTATATTGTTTAACTTAACTTTATTTACTGTTTGTACTTTTTTTTCAACTAATACATATATAAATATCGATTCATTTCAAGTCACATTTTTTTGCTCACACACATAAATGATAAATTTCCTTATACAATAAAAAAAAGTTTATGGGATATAATTAATTTTAATTCAATTTAAATTTTATTCGAAAATTTAATATTTTCATGACAATCGATTAAATTAATTATTTATTAAATATAAATAACTAATTATTTGATTACTATATAATAAAGTAGTTCATTACTATAATTAAGTAATTAATTACTACATTAATAAAGTATTAAATTACTATATAATTAATTAATTATGTACTTAATTATTAGTTAATTAATTATTAATTTGAAATATAATTAGTACAGTTAATTATCGTAGATAATGTAATTATTCCCAAACTTGTTATTGTTACCTTTCAATTGTCACCAATTAAAATAAATGAAAATCACGTCGCACAATAAAAACAAAAACAAATGAAAAAGTATAATTAATTTTTTTTTTTTTTAAAGTCAATTACGTTAAGTAGATTAAAACTGAATTATTTAAGTGTCTTTAAGATATGTAGATAATTATGACATAAACTTGCAATTGTGTTTACAATTTTTAACAAGAATGCAATTCTATAAATAGGGCGAATATGTATTTTTTTTTGTTTTTATCAGAATTATCAATTGTTTTGTGAGTGTGTCGCACAGATTGTGTGTGTGTGTGTGTGGGTAAATATTTTTTTTATTCATTGGATTTGATTGGTGGAGCCAATCTCTTTCTTTCTTCTTTTTTCTCCCTCTTTTTCTCTCTCTCTTCACAAACTGCGAATTCGACTGCATCAGGGTCACACACATTCTCCATCCTTATTTCTTCCTTCCTCTGACTTACTTCCTCTAATGCTTATATATTCTGACTTCTCTTATAACTCTTTGCTTCACTGAAACGCAATTCGAATTTAACCTTCACCATGTCCTATGTCTCGCGACCACACCCACACACCCACCCAATGTCCACATATGATTACAACGACCAGCAGACCAAAACCGAAGGCCCCCTTTGCCTCTTTTTTTTATATTTTTTTCGTGTAAATATATTTATATATATATATATATATACACTACTCCTATACGAGAATCGAGTATCTTCCTCACGTTGGTTAAAAAACAGGCATTCGTTTCCGTGATGCAAAACTTTTTAGTCTTTATAAGAGAGACGCTTTTTTGGAGATTTGCATAATCTTATATAACGACCGGTTAGAGTATTTTGCCAAAAGGGACAAAGGAATTAAAGAACGAGGAACCTTTCAGAAAAAGAATCCGATTAGCCGCGTCTTTATAGAGTTTCTTGACGTTTTTTTGTGTACATTATTATTTAATCGTGTTTCTTTTTATTTATAACTGTTTTATAATTTTTTTTGCGTTATAATTTTTAAATTCTCATTTTTTTTCAAATATAGTAATAATAATTGGTGATAATTGAAAATATGTGAAATTATAGTATATAATTAACTTTTTTCTAGAAAAATTTTTTTAAAAAAACGAGAAGTAAAACAAAAATACATAACAATAAAAACAAGTTGCAAATTCAGATGTTCATTACATGAACATTTTGCTTCCTCTTTACGATGAGCAAAAAAAATTTGCTTCCTCGTGGAGAAAGCAAAATTTTATTGCCAAAATGTGATTTTGATTTTTTAACTTTCATTAATTCTTTAAATTTACCTCAAATGTATCGATCGATTCATCTTGACGTAAGGAATACAATTATTTCATATATAAACTTCAATTTAAAAAATCACAAAATTTTATAGCCAAAATGTGAATTTTTGATTTTTTAACTTTCATTAATTCTTTAAATTTACCTCAAATGTATACTTTATATATATCGATCGATTCGTCTTGACGTAAGGAATACAATTATTTCATATATAAACTTCAATTTAAAAAATCACAAAATTTTATAGCCAAAATGTGAATTTTTGATTTTTTAACTTTCATTAATTCTTTAAATTTATCTCAAATGTATACTTTATATATATTGATCGATTCGTCTTGACGTAAGGAATACGATTTTATTATATATAACCTAAAATTTTTCTATTTAAAAATTTTTTCGATTAAAAAAAATTTTTTGGAAAAAAGACGATAAAATTTTTTTTTGGGAGTATTTTTCAAAATCCTTTGGTCAGATTTGAGATATTAATATGATAAATAAGCCTACCAAATTTTATCTAAATCCATTAAAACCTGTTAAAGTTATCTTTTAAACAAAAAAGGGATCCACACAGAAACACACATACATAAATCCGGACAATTGATCAGAATCTCATATAACATGTTTCTATAAAGAAAAAAATTTGTTTCCGACACTTTGAAAAGTTTTATAAACGAAAGGACTACAAAGCTTCCTCCACGAGGAAGCAAAAGAATAATATTGTTAGTTTATTTTAATTTTAAAAAAAAATCATCACTTTCTATAATATATATCAAAAAATTTTATTTTACAAATTATAGATAAAACCTCATGAATAGTATAAAATAGCCTTTGATTCTTGAAATAGATTTACTGTTATGGAATATTAATAAAGATAAAAAGAGAAGTTATTTAATACTAGAAACCGGAAGCATTTTGCTGTTCTGTAATTACAAAAGTTAGAAGTAAAAGCAATAATAGGAGAATAAATTTTCAAGCGCGTGTTAATCGATTTGAAAGATTTACTATAATATGAGATCAAATCGTTTTCTCTCTTTTTTCATCTATATATATATATATATATACAAAGTAATGTATATACTTGATTTAAATGTATTGTACTACACTCTCGACTCTCTCGCGCCTCTCCTTCGAATGTAATAAAGAGAACATCGAACGATAAATCTGAATTCAATCGAGCGTGAAGAAGATACGTTAATTAAATACAACTTTCTGCAAAGAGAGCGTTTGATCTTCATCCGCAAGTAGAAAAAAAAGACACAATTTTGCAACTATGTTTCCACTTTAGAAATATCACTTGTTATTTATTGCTTATTGATTAATTCACTATAAATTAGAACATCAGTGACAAAATATTGTACTTTTTCTCTTGCAAATATATAATAATTGTCATTTCTTCGAATTGATTTACACTATTTCTTGTACTTTTAAAGTTTTCCATTTAATCTCGCACATAAATCTGTTAGAATAATTACTTTTGTTCCTAAAACTTTTTTTTATACTTAATCAGTGGTGTGTTGAAATTGTTTTTCATCGATTACAAAAATATGAGAAAGGGGGCATTATTTATAAAAAAAAATTTTATTTAGTTGATTAATTTTTTTGGGGGGAGATATTTAATTATTTTTTTTTCAAATTTAATTAAGGCATTTTTTAATAATTTATACTGTGAAAAAAAAATTATTTAATACAAATAATCGGTTACTTGACAGTTATTAAATAAATGTTTTATTTCTCTCAACTAAATATTTATTTGTATCAAATAAACATGTATTTAAGCCAATAATTTTTATGTATTTAAAAAAAAGTAATTAACTCAAAAAATAATTTGGTTAAAGAAAATATTTATTTGATAGTAGTCAAGTATAACCGATTATTTGAATCAAATGAATTTTTTTTTTTTTTTTATTATTATTTTTAAATCAAAATAGTGACATTTGCTCCACCTTTACCTATACTAATATCTGAATAATAATACACAATAATAATTATATCAATAATATGTCAAAGTCTCATTTTGTTTATATGCTGTTTTTTTCTGCGCAAAGAGCTTAAAAAACAAACGAATGTAGATACTTTTGTATTGAGCATGATTAGATAACGTTTTTTTTTATGCGTCGAATTACGAACAGTGAATATACACACATTTTGTGTATATATATAATATACATAATGTGTGTAT